ACTGGTAGATTCGAAACCTACTATATACGAATATAATTAACGTGGTTAAAGGTAATATCAAATACAGGTTTAATCTATAGACGATGCGCTACGTTATTTGGGTTCCAAAATTGTTTGGGAGGTTGATGATACCTAGATTAGGTGGAAAATAAGGTCAAACATTGATTGAATAACTTGTGTTATGTGAAATTCAATGAAAACGCGAGACTCGCCTGATTTATTGTGAGAATAATTAACAACTGATTCATATTCAATTATGTAAGCTAGGGTGAGCAGAGATCGTAATTTATCTTAAGCCTAGTTTGGAAAATACCATAAACAACTTTGCATAGTAATCGAAGATGTGAATAACATAATAGTGCGGCCCTCGGTATGGTCGCAGTATCCTTTCGATTTATAGAAGTAAGTTGGCCTCACCATAGCAATTTGGTCTCGTTGTCAAAACGACTTATTTAAATGCATCTTGTCAAAGTCCTCTTCTATAGTAAGTATCATATTTCCTTGCATCAGACCGTGGATTCGGTATATTCTCCGACTTTTCGCCAGTATCGAAGCCGGTACAATCAGGGAGTCTTGCCATTTTCAGCACCAAGCTACCAACTAGTTAAAGCGACAAGCGAAGTAAATCCTTCGAACAATATTCTACCAAAACGGTCACCCTATCACTTTTATTCCTATCATAACGCAAATATCTACTCGTTACCCACTGATGCTAATCCCACCTATCACACCTTCTGACTTGTAAACATTCCACCTACTAATCTATGAGGAAAAGCTGCTAGAATGTATCCCCAAAGTGGCATATCTGTAAATATCAAGTCGATTTTTTTAGTTTTCTGATTTTGAATGTGCAAAAGTACTCGATGCACATTCCTACCCCGATAAGCCTGCGATCGATGAGTTCATACATCCCCTACATGCTTGTGGGGGCTTGCTGTTAGCTTGTGAAACTTATTTCATTGCGACCGAACAAGTTTTTCATCACAATAATTACTTTACATGCTCAGGTCTAGTCTCCGTTTATTTCAAAAAGTTGCACTTAAAACCATCATATTTGGACTCTTGTATTACGGTGTGCTAAGTTAATTACGATTTTATACCTCAGTTGCAGATGCTTTTATGTTCGGATTTACTCTTTTAGGTGTGCCAGCATGCATCTTTCACGAACTTCGCCACATGGGTGCAGCCTTGCACCACTCTGATCTGGAAGGAAAATCCGGAACTCCTCGAATACAGGACTCAGTTATATAAAGGGTTGGTTTTTCCATCAAACATTATGCTGATTTTCGACTTCCACAATGAATAATATACCTTTTACGAAAGTGGAGTTTAGTAGCGGGAACTGATTAGGGTGAATTACTGCATGTACCGTTGTTTCACCGAATTCGATTTATATGTTTGGAGAAATAATTCATGATAAATTCAAGTATATAACTTTTTGGCTTAATTTTCCCTGAATTATTATATTAATTTTTTATGTTCTCGTGATTTAAGTCTATTATGCACTGAAGTGATATCAGCATCAATTCTAGTGGTCTATAGGTATATTTAAAAAGATTAGATGAAACCCGTATTTACAGGTCTTTCAATATAACTGCTTGTTTTATTTTCTCTTTGGGTCCCCAGTAAGGTTACTTTACGATGATCTTCCAATCAGAATTACCTCCGCTCTAAAGGTCTCTCGCTAATTAGAAATATCTCACTTCGTTTGTTAGATAATGCTAAAAAATGAAAGGCATTGAAGACACCTTCACTGTCACAATATTTTACTTGCTTAATAAAATGTGGTACGGTGTGCCCTATTGAGCGGCTTTCATGAGAACCCTCCGCACTTCACGCTGGCCTTCACACCGCCCTTCATCCTTGTGCTGGGAATGTTCATCAGAGTCTGCTATATTGTTACGCAGTCCTCGTTCCTTAGGTCTTACCGCAGTCTCTCTCTTGCCCCGTAAGATCCGTCTGCCCTTTCTCTGGTTCACATATTTAACTCGACCCCTGCCACCCGAGGCGTTATTGGCCCTACCCTACTTCTGGGTCACTAATTCGAGGCTAAAGCCTCTGATTAAGTCTCTTGGTCAGGCCTTTGCCACATGGACCAAGTCTCTTGTAAAACCTACTGTCAGCCCACTAGCTCCCATTTCCGCCGCATCTATCCTGTCTCTATCTCTAATACCAAGCCTATGACTTCCCATGCCCTAGTCTCTGTGTACCAACCCACAAGCGTTGTATTTTAGCATTGAACCTAGTCAAAGCAAGCAAAACCACAACATTTGTGGATTGATACACAAGAGACTATGGCATGGGAAGTCAGACTTTGTATTAGAGATAAAAATAGGATAGACGCGGCGGCAATGGGAGCTAGTGGGCTGACAGTAGGTTTTACAAGAGACTTGGTCCATGTGGCAAAGGCCTGACCATGAGACTTATTCTGAGGCTTTAGCCTCGAATTAGTCACCCAGAGGCAGGGTAGGGCCAATGACGCCTCGGGTGACCCAGATTGGGTGGCAGGGGTCGAGTGAAATATGTGAACAAGAGAGAGGAAAGACTGATCTTACGGGGCAAGAGAGAGACTGTGGTAAGACCTAAGGAAGGACTGCGTAAAAATATAGCAGACTCTGATGAACATTCACAGCACAAGGATGAAGGCCGGTGTGAAGGTCAGCGTGGAGTGCGGAGGGTTCTCATGAAAGCTGCTCAAAAGAGCACACCGTACCACATTTAATTAAGCAAGTAAAATATTGTGACAGTAAGGTTGTGATTGGAGGATATAGGATGTGAATAGACAAGAGCAGAATGGGAGATACCGTAGCTGTTTAGCACACGTTTGGTCAAAGGATCGGCTTCACTTGCCTCTTTGACGAGTTGTAACATGGTGCTACGAATGGCGATACTCACTGACGATGCCGGAGAAACGTCTGAGGATGTACCACGTCCACAATCCGACTTTGGAAATTATCATCCATACAATGGACTCCAGACTAGGTGCCTCTAAGTCTTCTTACTAATATGACTAAGTTGCGAAAACAAGGTCAAACAACTTCTTTACAACGGAAGGATACTGCGACCACAAAAAAGGCCACACCATCTTGGTCTTCATGCTTTTAAGAGAACTTTATGTTGGAGTAACTTCATTTCGTTTTGAAGAGGCGAGTGGAAGGGATAATAGTAAAATCAGGTTTTGACTCTCAAACACAAAGTGTCTCGTGAGCATTGCATGCACACAATACAATGGATCGAAACCATACCTAGTCCCATTTCAGGATCAACGTAAAAAGGTATATGGGGATAGTTGTTCGGTGACAAATCCATTCTTTCACGCTTCATTTGCAACCGGTTAACATGCCATCAATAGCCCCTTCACTTTTCAGCAAAACATAGGAAAGACGTAGGATATTTAACTAAAATGAGATGCCTCTAAATGGACCCTGCTAGACTATAAAAAGAAGCTAGGATTGGAGCAGGCCATTTTATCTTCGTGATTTGGTGAATTATCGTTAAGAACGGTGTTGCTCTGACGATGTTCGTCATATGACAGACGAAAGCTCAGCAAGGACTCATCGGGGTCGCAGGGCGGTGTGCTGAGGACCCATTAGCAGAAATCTACTATCACAGCTCCGAGGCTATCCCTCCGCAGATACCTGTAAGGCTAACTTACAAATCCATTTGACTCGCCTCTTCAAACCCTAACATGGATTTAATATGGGATCCTTGTAGACCAGTTTTTCTACAGAAAGGCTTTGGATGTTGTATAAGCCTTTGAACAAGAAGAATTAGATAACGATTATAAGGATGAACGTAACCAATTATCCTTGGTTTTGAATTAATTTATTTGTATCTCATAATTACACAAATTTACAAAGACTAAAATATTTAAGACAATTTTGGATTCTTTACAAATGGTCCTGTGAATATCACAAGGCTGGTAGGCAAGCTTGAGGCTTGGAGACCATCAGGACCAGTACATATGGGGAGTCGAAGGTAGACATCTTTATACATAATAATAGGGAAATCGATGAGTTTATGAAAGTAATTCAAACATCTCTGTAGTTAGGCCGGTTACCAAGTTTGCTTCCTGGTTTTCCACAGCCTGTCTGAGTAGACATAGATCCAGAGATCACTCCGTTTTCAAACCTAGTCGTTTGAATAGATGCATCATTTGAATTGGAAGAGGGATCTAATCCATCAGCTTGTGCCCAACTAATTAGGGCATTTACGAGACTAGCCAATTCAGCGAGCTCGGGATCATCACTGTCAAATTGGGCACGGAGGCCCTCAATTATCTGAGGGTTTTGACGCAACGTTTGCACAATAGAGTTCTTTAACTGATCATTGTTTGCCTGCTTTAATGTGGCTAATAGGGCAACAATACTAGCATCAGTATCGTTATCAGATGTGTCCTCCATGTTAGGATCTTCCTTACTAGGAGAATTTTCAATTTGCTGCCTTTCGGAAGAGGTAAGATCCGATTCGGTAGTTTGCTGTCTAAGGGAAGTAGAAGGCCCACTGAGACTGGAAATGTTAATAGTAGAAGGAAGTTGGGTATGTATTCCATTTCCAACAGCATGCATAGACGTCTTTCGAACAATATGTTCACTGGATTTATGCAGCATAGAACAAGAAGCAGAAAGAGCATCGCTTCTTATTAGAGGATTTAATGACTCTTCCGTTTGCCGCCGGGTTTCATCAGTAAGAGAAGTTGAATTTGAGAGAGGTTTTAAGCATATGTCATGTTGATTGACAACTCCCTCTTGCGGACGATTTTGCAAAGCCACAGAAGAGAGTTTCCGCGCTTGCTCCTGTCGAAGCATACGACGCCTTTTCTTGCTCCACATTTCATGGCAATCTTGTCCAATAGGCATCCTGCAAATATATAGTTAATATTAGCATTAATCCTTGGCCCTTAATTAAACAGATTGCACACAAGAAAAAATGAATTGGTTATGCCTAAAATTAAATTACTAGACACAATTGGAGATTATTGTCTTGGCAACATATACTCAAAATGTTATCGGTAAACAAGCTGCAAATTGTATGTAGCAAAACAGATGAGGTGTAAATAAAGCAAATATAAGACTTTTGCACTGGATCGAGGCCTAAAATTTATTGCCGACTTTCGAAATTTTTTGATGAAGAGCCTTTAGCCAAACTGGATTTCCACATGACAGCAGCAGGACTAATACACAACTAGCTTTTCGCCGTATGTTTGCACCGTCCTAGCAACACAGCTCTGGGAGATGCAAGACAATATGCACATTCGAAAAAAATAGAGGAATGGGCAGTAACAAGACCCAAGCATTAGACAGCCGGTCGCAAGCAAAACTCACCCAGCGTTTGGCGATTAATTGATGTATTTAAAAGCATGAATTTTCTGGCTCTAAATCGCTCTGGTGTGTCAGCAGCATTGTCATCCGCCACTTGGATCCATTCTTAATCACTACAACTATTTCCTAAATACATGTCAAAAAATATCACATTATGTTTTTAGCCGTCCCCACACCTCTTAAAATTCGACTATCAGCAACGTAGATAGTTAAGGAGAATTTTATTTCGTATGAAAGTGCATGATAAAGACTCGTAGGTCGAACTAACAAGATGATGTCTGATTCCCGTTGTATTGCAGACTTTTGGCTTTAGTACGACGTTCGGGTTGACGAGGCCCACGAGACATCCTCCCTCGTTTCAGGTGAAAAAGAGGATAAACTTTCGTCTATCATATGAAGGACATCATCAAGGTTAAAACTCAATCTTGTAAGTCTCAAGTTAGCATTACTCATAACTAATAGCGAAAATGTATAGATATAAAATGATTAGGCTAGTTCTCTTTCATATTGGTCATGGTTCTTTTACTTGAGTGTATGTTAATGTCTTAGACAATAAGGCGGATTAAAAAGTATAATGTCAAGCTCAAGTCATCAAGGCTTAGTGATCCAATAAAAAACCCTGGCCAAGACTGGCTAAGTCCGTAGGCAACTCTGATTAAAATGTAAGTCAGGTTACTAAACCACCTAACATAGCCTTTAAGTCTAGAGCCATTAAGTATTAACGACCCAAAGAAAGGCATTAATGGGATTGCATTATCTCATACGTCTTACTTGTTTGAGGAGCACAGTCTACATTTTGGACGTGTGAAATTAGACAAATTAAATCATTTTCTTTTCGATGGCGGATCTACAATCCATATTCTCCTATTTTAATCAACTATAAATAATGAAATCGACCCTTGAATCTATTCATCATTCCCTTTCATTCAAAATGAAAGTCTTCCAAACTATGTTATCTTAAGAGATTAATCAAAACCTAGTTACTCCTATTTACAACAAATTTAAACTCTCCATGAATCATCTCAGCAGATTTCATTTATTAGGCAATATAATAACTATGCACTCGGTTCGAAAGCAGGCTATCCCGTAATAGAAGGGATCTATATCTACTTTCAGGCCGTCCATAAACTAAACCAACCTCTCGGTCAAGAGTCGACTTTCACAATAATTTTTATGGTCAAGTGTTTTAGTTAAATTGAACTTACCCAAGACAACTAGACCATTGCGCCACTAGCTTTGCACCTCATATCCACACCATCATAGCAATATTTCTGTTTCGTGCATAGCATTAAAACAAAAGCAACAAATACATGACGCATCCTTACATATATATATATACATGACATTGTTGTTAGCGGATATCTCAAATCAGTCACATCCAAACCAAGTATCAAGGTTAAAGACCTCAAATGTTAGATGTAGAATTTCAAGTGTCATAGCATAATAAGACTGAATTATGGAGCATAATGCAAAAATTGCAAATGATTCCTTTATGTATACGTTTGGTTGTTCGCATGCTGTAATTGCGAAATACTTAATAATATGCAAGCTAGTCTCAATTGCAATATCAGCTACTTCAGCTATCCTAGTCATGCTTATGCAAAGATCGTAGTAATACGGGCCTATAAGTTAAATTTAAATGAAGTTTTTGGTAGTCTTATATAAGATTTATAATAGCAAAAATATCCTCTCCATCATCCTTGCTCCACGTAAATTAATCATCGACAACCAATGTCCAAAATGCAACCCTAACTAAATAACCACATCCAATCCGGGACGAGTTATATAATATTCTCTAGTGGTATCAGTGGAACTGAATGGGGTGGATTGTGTGCATCCATGATAAAAAGCATACCTAAAAAAACTCGAGAATAAAGGGAAGCATAAATCTTTCAGCGATGCAACATGGGTATTTAGGCTTCTAACTTTTTGTGATATATTCCTCGCATAAGTAGAATAAACTTGTTATACTAACGGCTTATAAGACATAAACCCTAGAAGTTATGAATTAGATAAAATGAAAAATTAAACGTCGAAAATAGCTACTTCTGACAAGACAAAGTTAAACAACTCGACTAGATCCCTGATTTTGCAATCATGTCGGCTTTCGAAAGAGATCGTTGAGCTAGTCAGGGAAAGTGGAGTTAGATAAATATATTAAGCGACTCGCATTCTCCTTAGTTGTGCCATCATTTATAGATGATTACGACCTAGGAATAAAATAAAATGTTGTATAGGAGTTGTTTAGCATTGTTTTCGTAACTTGATCATATTGGTAGAAGGCCTAAAAGAACTCACCCAGTCAGGAGTCCATAGTATGAATAAGAATTTCCTGAGTCGGACCATGGACGTGGTACTTTCCCAGACTTTTCGCAGGCATCGTCAGTGAGCCTTGACAATCTTAGCAGCACGATGGAGACTAGGGCTATTTGGCTAATAATAGCTGTGCATAATCATAGATTTGGTCCATGAAGTACGTTTATAGTTAGCCAACTAGCTCTAGTCTCCACCATGTCTATCATGTCTCTATTCATAATGCTAAGGCTATTACATTCTAAACCCTAATCTATCCTGTTCAGACCCATAAATGCTGTAGATCTACTTGTTTTGAATAGGCTCACTGTAGACATCTCCTCTTGATCTATGTTCCTTTCTGGTCTACTTGCGATTTCTTTTCCTAAAAGTAAAGATGTTACTTTGACCAGACGTCTTCTTTTTTGCTAATCTTACTGATGCCTGATCTTCTCCGAATTAGTTTAGGCAATATCCAAAGTTTTCGCTGATCCTGCCTTCTTCAAATCCCCTCTTCATTATATTTATTTCTGTTAGTATATTGATGCCCCCTCGGATTTTGCATTTTAACCTACGCATTGGTGAATAGCTCAGACCAGGAGATATCACAATTGTTAGGCAGACAATTGGTCAAGGAATCGGCTTCTCTTTGGCATGTTGTAGTGTGCTGCTAGGATTGGCAATGCTCACTGACGATGCCTGCGAAACGTCTGGGAATGTACCACGTCAACAGTTCGATTCCGGAAATTCGCATGTATTCTATGGATTCCGGACTAGTTGAGTTCCTCTAGATCTTCCTATCAAATGACCAAGGTGCGAAAACAACTTCTGTACAACGAAAGGAGACTACAATCATACAAAAGGCCACATCATCTTAGTCTTCATACCTCAGATTATAAAATGTTGTGTTGATGAAGTAGCCTTAATGTGTAGAAGACTTGTCAAATCATTTGAACCCAAGCCACTTGTAAAGATTTATGAATCAGGAAGTTAGAACTGGCTTGAAATATTGCTTAAGTGGTACAAAATAAAGCTCTGCAGAATGACACCATACAAAAGCTAAAAATCAGATCAACATAAATTTGCAATGCTACTATAATTCTGAATTGGAAGCAGTCAACGAAACTTATTATATCTCGTTTCCCGAATATATTTTTGGAAAGGAGAGAAAAAAACAAAGAGAAGTGACTTAAATAGCCTAAAGCCTGATTAGGACTCTACCACTTAATAAGTTTTGTGAGCATAACAAAACTAAAAAGTAAGAACCGAACATGCATAATAATTGCAGGATGATAGACCAGGTTAGTTTGCATTTATATCGACTAGCCTAAAAGCACGTGGGGATTGACAAGAATCGAAATGCATCATAGAATGCCTGATTGAAGTTTCGATATTAGCCAATTATTACGTAGTTGCAACTGGCCACAATCTAAGCCTCAGTGTATGGTTAATTTTAATAAATAATGGTAAAGGTGATTCGCCCCATAAAACCCCATTGAAAGGACATCTGAGATATATTTGAACATCTGGGGATATAGGAGATAATAGGAAAAACAGCCCTTTCTAAAGAGGGTATTTATAATCTTTTAAGTCTACTTTCTTCTAGGCGAAGAAAAGTTGGGTTAGAGGAATCCCTTGATACATAATTATTGCAAGCACTTATATTTCGAATTAAAGTGTTTGGTGAATATTTGTAGGTCGATTCTACCAGAAAACGAAGGCGGATTTTTCTTGACCAGCTGTCGAATCGTTTTACTGGAAAATTCATGTTGATGATGCTTCCAAAACAATTTCATTCGATCCGGTGAAAATGTGATAATCCTATGTTCGTTATAGCAAAAGCATCAAGTTAGAGTATTACCTTTACCTCCATATTCAAGAAAAGTAACCGACTTATCTCTAAATGTTATATATATATATATATACACCCTATATTTGAGCTTTTTGATGAGGAATAATGATTTATTCTGTTCAAGTTATATCAACTTCGAAGCATGTTAATGTGTCTATCTATGTGTGTTTATAATACTTTTCTGATCTGCAATACACAAGGATAGAGTTCCTCTAAGATTGAATGGTAACTCTAAGGGAAATTTGATGCATAGGATTTCACAATACTTATACAAACAATAAAGGGAAGTTGTTGGGTCTGAAAAATATTCTGTTAAGAATTCATATGAATTCGATAATTTGGTAGATTAACAGAGTATTAGAAGAGGATCTTTTAGTGAGTTCCGATGCGGTAT